CTCCGGACTCTCTGAAAATTATGTGAGAACCAGATGAGCCCAAAAGGTTCACCATCATTAGTCTAACCCCGTTGGAAAACTATAGAGTAGTAGGTCTAGTTTTCTTTTTCAGCCTGTCAAGTTAATGGCTAACACTATGCCTTGCAGTATTGAATCCCACAAGTTATGTATTTTGTGAAGAAGCTATTTTGTGTTGGAAATCTCCAAGCATCTTAAATGGATGAGCCTTGATCCTAATATTTTGAAAGAAGGTTAAAAACTCCAATTAGTCCAAATAGGGATGTAACTCTCACCAGCTGAACAATATAATTATGAAATATTAAAACAGTTTTTTTCCCTGTCATGCTAACATTGGAGCTACTGGTTCCATTTTTCTCTTTTTTTAATGCAGGTTAAATGTTGCAAAAATACTATCATCAATTATTAAATATAAATGCTCCGTTGAATGCTTGATACTAGGTTACTTAGACTTCATTTTGTTCTCTTTCTTTCTTACATTGTAATATATCTCAGAAATTGTTCCTTCTGACATTCTGCTGTTAATTTTAAAATATAATCACTTGTGTAGAGCACAAAAAATAAAATAAAATATATTTGTTCATAAAAATCCTTATGCAGCTTCTTTTTTAAAAAAAGAAACATTTATTTATGGGATTAAGGAATATTCAACCCTGTAGTCTTCCCATTCCTGAGTCATTTGAATGTTAAGAATAGTTGGTGCAGTCAGGATACTCTACAGGTGGAAATTTATGTGAGTTTTTTAATGTCTAGTAGACAACCGTGTTTCAAAGAGACTTGATTTAAAACAACAGAACAGGAAGTCAGTCCTTATCTCTTCCTTGTCGAAACTGTCTTGTTCATCTGTATTGTACTTCATTATCAGGTTTCTCATTTCTAATTATAAGCATGACTGTGTTACTGGGAAATTAATAATTTCAAATATTTGTATGATCAAATATTACAAAAATGAGTTTTTGAGTACAGTTTAAAAAATTGCAAAACCATTAGGGAATAAACTATGTTTATACGTTAGGCAGTTAATACATAATACAGTTAACTATAGAGATTGTTGCCTTTTATTGTTTGCATTATTATATGTTGGTAGAAATTCAATTCTGTGATTGATTGATTGATTGATTGATTGATTGATTGATTTAAGGAACTGATAAGGCCCCCCATCAAATACACAATAATCTTAGGTGACTCACAATAACAGTCAATCAAAACATAAATATCCATAATTTTATTCCAAGGTCTTCCAATTAAGCAAAA